ATAATTACCAAAGTGAGGATAAATATTTAAAAGGACTCTTATTTAATCGGTAAATGCTTCCTTTCCAAGTTCCCCCCATCACTGTCTCTGGAGTTTCCAGAACAATTGTTCTTAGACCCAGAGCTGCCTGTGGTTTGGGCCTTGGTCATGTGACTATTCTCCCCCCTTTCCTGGTGGGTGGCCTTAAAGGTAGAGGGGACTGGTCAGTCTGGCCTGGCTGTGAACATCACGGTCAGCCTCTCTGTATTCCATGACCGGACCTGGGGGACAGGACCCCGACTGCTGGGGGGTGGGAGGAGGTACGACAGAAGCACAAGGGACTGGGCACCCATAACTAATTACTCCTTTACAATTTCTGATGCCTACCTTGGTGCCACAAAGGATTTGGGGTCATTCGTGACAATATATATAGTAAAATATACGATGCAAGCGACCCCAAATCTGAAGGCAGTATAGAATGTGGGTTAAAAGCACAGGCTCTCCACTCTCATTCACATTCTCATTGCTGGAAAGGCAGCTGCTCTGTGCAGGGGCTCTGTCTGTGCTGTCCCATACAGTGACCCAGCACTGCTTTGATTTTAGCATTGAAAGTCCTAAAAAAGTCCCTGGAAACACCTCAGTCCCGGGAAACCAGGACAGTTGGTCACCTGCCTGCTTAACACCAGCATCAACTCTAATAGTTAGGAGGTCTTCTTCCCATTTTAAAGATGGGGAAATAGAGGCTTGGGGAGCTGGACTAACTGGCTTATGTATACACATCTGATGAGTGGTTACAATGGCAATTTGAGTTCAGAGCTCATGACCTCCGAAACCCATATTATTCATACTCAGTATTGCTCTAAACTGGGCAAGATCCGGAACAGACCAGCATTCCAGGCATTGCAGGTGAGTTTGCTTAAAGGCGCTTGGCTGCTGGAGCACCTGGGACCCTAGGAGGGGGAACTCATGTCCACGAAGCAAAAGGGAGGCCAGACTCCAGCAGGGAAGAGGGGGACATTGGAGGGGCACCTTCTTTCAGATCCCAGCCTAGCGCTGGCATGGAGGGCTTGTTGAGAACTTTGAGATGGGACAACAGGCCACTGACCCTGGACTGAGTCCAGTTCTGAGCATGGTGTCGGGCGAGAGAAGGCCATGTCCATCGGTCGCCATGGAGAAGCATCTGGGGACACCAGGGGGAGCAGGGGCCGCCTCAAGGACCAACTGGCCTCTTCTGATCTTTTCCCTGGAAGCATCTGCAGCTGCACCCTCCCACCCTCCCACTCTCCCCACCACCAGTTCTGTAGCAAAACCCTGATTCCTCCAGCCCCTAGCTGAGCCCTGCAGACCTGCTGACACAGCTAAATGTAGAGGGCATGGAGACCCCAACAGGAGGTGTCCTGCCCACTACACAGATGAGCCTGAGGACCTCCAGCCAACAGGGCTGATGAATTTCTCTTGGCTCTTAGGCACCATTTTCTCATAATTGTAGTGGGGAGAAGACTGACAGCCCCGCTAAGGGCTCGGAGCCCGCATGCCGCCAGAGCAAGGCGAAAGCTCTCTGAGGACCACAGTGGAGCAGAATGAATTTTTCTTCAACTTAGAGGAACGATAAAATCTGATTTAATTCTTAGGAAATTGCCTTTTTTACCCACCTGTGTAAGCCTGTATTTAAATGCTAATATTTTGGGCCTGCTGGGATGCCACATTTATTTTCTTCCTGAGCAGCTACAAAAATCATTTATTTATGATTTCTAGCTCCTACCTCTCTCCTGAGTTCGTCATTTTCATTTCCATTTACCAGCTGGGCATTTCTCTCCCCAAGAAATTGGAAATCTGTAACCATCTCCCTCCCTAGACCTGACCTTCTTTATGCCTTTCCACTTCTGGTTTTAGAACTACGGGTGGCTTTTGACTCCCTTCCATCCCCCAGACTTTCCTCCAGTCACCAGTCCCTTTGATTTGACCTCCTCCCCCAGGGGCGAGTCACCAGCTCTGACTGAGCCTCCACTTCCTCGTCTGTAAAATGGGTATAATAAATAACTATCGACCCCACGAGTCTGTTACACGACCTGGATAATCTAAATGCAGCACCCAGCACAGCATTTGCTAACAGTGTACTAAATCATGGTGCTTATTTTTATAAAGGGTCCTGACCCCCGTGGAATCTGCTCTTTTCCTCTAAATGGTTGTCCAGTTAGGAGCTGTTTAGTGAATTCTGAGTCAAGGGCTCTATGCTGACTAGAAAACTTAGATGGGCTGCTATTTGCGTCAGTGTATTTTCACGCTCGGAAATTATCTACCTTATGAATTTGCTTGCTTGCTTACGGTCTGAGCACCCTTCCCTATGTTCCCCCTACAATACAGCTTCCACAAGGAAAGGGAGCTTTTCTTATTTACTGGCATATCCCCAATGCCTGGCACATAGTGTGATTCTAGACATTCAGAAGGGACACCTAGACTGGGCTGGTTATTAGGCTACTGACCCCCAGCTGCAAAGGGTGCCTTTCTCTGCCTTTCTCTACCCTACACTGGACTGGAACTCTGCAAGCCATATTTCTGCTTTACCAGCAGCCCCAAGACAGGCCCTGCCAGCAGGGAGAGATCGGGGGCTGCAGGCTGGGGGAGGGGGCCTTGCTTCAGGCAGCCACAGCTCTTTACCCTAGCCGTGGCGGTAGGTTCCAGTCTCAACAATTGGTTCGTTTCTGAGATGTATTTTTTGAACTTCCAGGTTCAGGCTCAACACTCACCCTCAGAGACACCAGCGTGAGCCAGACTACACCCCTCCCTCAGAGTCTGCGTCTGAGGCTCATCAGGTCCCTTCTGCAGGATTGCAGGTCCTGAGAACCCCAGTTCTTTCTTTTGTCTCCCCACCCCCACCCCGCTGGGGCTGGCATCTGCTTCCTGCCGATACTTGGCCATCTCTATAATTCCTCTATAATTCCTCAGCGCCCCCTTTTGCCCTTTTCGATCCTCCCATACCTGCTTGACAAGTCTGTACATGAAATTCTCTCTGTTCAATAGCCAAGGGGTTTGCGTCTCCTAGCTGCACTGAGACTGAGCCTGCCTAGCCACGCCCCTATCTGCTCCCGCCCTACCCCACAGCCATGGGTGGAATCCTTCCAGGGTGAACATCTCCATTCTCCCTCCACAATGCCACCCAGGGACAGGAAGTTTACGATTATGATGGACAGCTGCTTGTTTATTTCAATATCAAAGCAAACTATTTCTTACTCACACTGCCAGTTGCTTCGATTTTGAACCCTGTGTGATGAGAAATAACTTTCCATGATTTCAGAGTCAAATGTCAAATGGCCTTGGATTCAAATTCTGCCTCAGTGGTGTGGCCATCAATAAGTTACTTTCCCTCCCTGGGCCTCTTTCCTTGTCTGCAGAACGGATAACATAACAGAACCTGCCTCATGGGGCTACAATAACAGACATATGGAAGTACTTAGAGCAGTCTCCTGCACATAAAAGGCACTCCAGGGAGTCTGCTGTCCTTGTTAGCATAGTGAGGACAGCCTTGGACCTTTCAAGGACAGTGTGTTTGTCCTCTGTTAGCCTTGTACTCAGAGAGGTCAGAACACTCACCTGGGCCCAGGTGCCACCTGGAGTCCCCACCTGCCTCTCCTTCTCTCAGGAACTGGTGTGTGAACATTCCTGTAGATTGGTTTCAGGTGGAGAGATCACTTCGCCTTCCCAAGTCCCTTTGGCTGATGCACATCTGTGACAGGGAGGCTAATTACAAACCTGCTGACGGTCTAATTTCCCTGGTGCCACCTGATTATTCCATTAGCACGTGGCCCACACTTGCAGAATCACGTGTTCCTTGAGCAGAGAACAGTTCTCTCCTGTCCTCTTTTATCATGACTCTGACGTGGGCACAACTTGCCTTCCTTCTCTGAGAATGTTCTTGGAACGCTCAACACCTGGCCTGCATGTCTGGGGATTTTGCTGTGTGATGTTTTGGATGCTGCTGAACCTCTCTGGGCCTGAGTCCTTTATCTAAGATGGAGTTCAACTACTTTGCGATCAGAGGAGAATCTGAAATGCTTAGTGCTTGAGTTACTGCTGGGGGAGATTAACAACTGGGGCCTGGCTGCATGGTTCCCAGTGATAATGAAGCTTTATCTACACAGCTTCTGCTTACAGAATTGTTTCAGGGGACAGGGGCAAGAGCGGGAGCGCCACCAACAACAGTGGCAGCAGTCAGAGCAACAGCCATGACCCTATAGTAAGCACGTTGATTTCATTTAAACCTCCCCAAATGCTGTGAGGTAAGGATTATTATTCCCATTTTCCAGAAGAAAAAACTGAGGCTGTCCTGCTCGCTCCACAGCTGCTAAATTGCAGACCTTAGAATCTCAGGTCTGTCTTTGGCCTTTGCACTTGCTGTTCCCTCAGCCCCAATCACGGTGATACTCCAGAGAGCTGCGTGGCTGGTTTGGGGGTCTCTGCTTAAATGTCACTTTAATATAGAGAAGCCTTCCTAGATGACCCCGTGAAATACTGGGTTGTCGGAAAAGTCATGAGGTATTTTTTTTCTATGTTTTTCATTGCAAAAATGCGTCATGACTTTTCCAACAACCCAGTAGGAGCTCCTGTCACTCTCCACCCGTCTGGCTTTCTTTTTCTTCAAAGCACAATCCTGTTTATAGACGCAGTTGTTGGCTTATCTGTCCTTCTACCACGTGAATGTGAACTTCATAAGCCCATGCCCTTGGCCTTGTCGACCGCTGTATAGTTGGCGCCTGGAGCAGAGGACGTGTGACAGTGTGTTTATATATATGCTATATCTGTGTAGGAGGAACAAGTGAGTAAGTACCTGGTGCAAGGGCCATGCTCTTAACCACTACCTGCCTGTCTTGCTTGGAGTTCCTTGCTCATAGGATTGGCCAGGTCCTTCAGACAGCAGGCGCCGGTGTTTATTTCCCCTTATGTATTCAAATGTTGGCATCCCAGAATCCTCGCTGGCGTCCAAATGCAGATCCCCCCAGACACCTCCTGTCATCCCCACACAGGTGCTGCTGACCACCTTCTGGAAGCCACCCCTCCAGCAGGATTCCTGGCCAGGTTTCCTAGAAGAGCGGTACGGCTGAGCACAGCTGAGAGTTCCACACCCTCCAAAGTGAACCCTCCCATTCAGAGGGCAGCACTCGGTCAAACGGCCAGGTGGGTATCACACCCTCCCCCTCCAAACCGCTCTCTCTCATCGCCCTCCGTCTCCTCGGTGCCAAGGCAATGCTGCCCTTCCCTGCCAGGTAATGGTCCTTGATCTAGCTCTTTCCTTCTGCTTCTTAACGCCTATCTGCCCACTAAGATTCTGCAAAGTGAACCAAGTTCATTGGATAAATGGGTTCTTGATAAGGGCTTCGTGTCTGATGATAAAGCCACTCCACTGTAAGGGCCAGGAGGACGTGACCGTGTCTGTCTAGTTTGCCTGGCTCCACGTCCTCTATATCCTGGGTGCTCAGCTCTTTCCTAAATACTGGGAGCTCGGTAAATATTGGGCACGTGAATAAGAGAACAAAAGGCAGTTGACCCCAAGAAAGAAAATACCTACCAAGAAGGGCTCCTGCTGGTGAACTGGGGATTCCTATTGACCCTGAACTGGTGCCAACGACTATTGGTTGACGCGACTAAGTGTCATTAACATTCCAAGACACCAAGTGCGTTTTGACTGGAGACAAAGAATGAATAATGTGGCAATTTCCAGCCCTAAGACATCGGGCACAATGGGTATTTTCTGCCTGGGCTCCTTTCCATTGTACATGCTATGACTCATACGTACTGGCCAGTCAGGGAATTCAGGTCATTTGGGGGCTTGGACAAAGGCGCTGTGCTTGTGGGCTATCTCGGGGGTCTGTTCTTGAAGCTCAAGTTTGTTGGTGACATTCTAAGGTCTGAGGTTTATTTCAAGATTCACTTCCCCATAACTCATGGAAGATGGGGAAGAAACCAGACAGGGGGCGTGAGTTCCAACTTATCCGGCATTTTATCAACTGGTAGTCTCCATTCTCCCGCTCTTGAGCAATCTATTCTTCTCACACATCCCAGAGTAGCAGGTGACAAGGAGACAACCTGATGGAGAGGAAGAGAAAGACCTCCCCAGGGTGTGGCTTAGTTCAGCTGACGGTGGGTGTCACGTTCGCTGTTCACATGGAGCCGCAGTGCATGGGCCGGTGGTACCCATGGCGATGGCCCATGAGGACCTTATAAAACACCAAGGAAAGTAATGCCCTGTGTAGCGGGAGGGGTGAGATGTCCCCGGCGATGCCTCGCTGCCCTCACAGGGTGGTGCTGAATGGCAGCCAGGCTTTATTAAGCAGTAGTCGGACTTCACATTTGCGCACTGCTTTGCCGTTTGACTTCTAAGAGGACTGTACTGTAGTCTAAGTGTTTGAATTTCAGACATCCCTTTATGGCATTTCTGAGGAATACTTCCTTCATCAAGAAAAGCCCCAATCACACTCCTCTCCTATCCTGATGAGAGCGCAGGTGTGGAAGCTAGAACGGGGCAGCTGACTCTGAGTGGGGCCACCTGGGGCCGCTGTGGGAGGTAGTCAGAGGAGGCAGACGGCCCCCGGTGCTGGCTGCAGAGGGAGCTACAAGCCACCCTCCTATCCCCACCCCTCCCCGGAGTGCCCCACTCGGTCGGACTTCTACATGATGCAAACCAGGCCACGCAGAGGCTGCCTGCAAACTTTCCACTGAGTGCCCGGCAGCAGCTCCTTGCTCTGTGGGGAGTTCTCGCGGATCCCAATCAGGGCACGGAGAATTGATCCGTTAGCTTAACCAGGAAGGAGAGAGCGGGAGAGCCAGCTGGGAAGCTGGGAACCGGGGTATCTTGGCGCGGCAGCCCCTCCCCCTGACTGGAGTATTAATTGCTACATTGCCACTGCCATGTAAGAAAGACAGTCAGCGAAGCCTGGGCGGATCCAGTTCCCCCCCTCCCTGCACTGCTCAGCTCCGCTCTCCTCGGCGCTCGCAAAGCGCCCTGTGCCCTGGCAGTGCCGTCCCAGCCCTGGCATCCTGATGTCTTCCTGTGAGTAGGACTTGAGTGGACAGCAGGAAGGGGTGGAGGGGAAGGACGGAGGAAGGGAGCAGACACCGTGCCCTGCAGGCTCCCTGGATGCAGGAGTCGGACTCGCTGCAGAGGCAGCTGTGCTGTTCCCGGAGCTTCTGGGGTGCGTCCATCTCTTAGGGTTCGCCTAGGCGGGCTCCAAGTTCCAGGGGCAGACAAGGTGGACACCGTCTCTTCTGGGTGCTGACAGCAGAGCCTGCATTCTCCCTGTACCACCATGAGCGGCTGCTCCAAAAGATGCAAGCTTGGGTTCGTGAAATTTGCCCAGACCATCGTGAAGCTCATCACTGGGACCCTCAGCAAAGGTAGGACACCCGGCCTTGATCCTCATTTTCTGTCTTGATGTGGCCAGAGTGCCTCGGTGGGGCAGGTGTGGCCATTCTGGTGTGCCCAGGTCTCGGAGGAGGAGACTGGGGGAAATCAGTGTGCTGGGGTTCTGGGTTGCTGACAACCTGGGTCCTGGCTCTCAGCAGGTAGGCACCACGCCAGGGAGCTCAGCTGGCTCTAACTGCCTGGAACTTTGGAAATGGCTGTGGTGGTTTGTGGCTGATTGGTTACAGACGGGCAGAGGGACAGAGCCCTTCCCAGAGCGCTGGAAGCCGCTTCGCATGACTAGAGTTTCAAGAAGTTGCCCACGGAGTTTTGTGTCTTGTTGATAAAAGAGAGATTTGATGCAGTGGGCTGTGAGTAACTGCAGAGCACAGACGCTTGAGGGGCCAGCAGGAGGTGGTACCAGGGCGTCATTCTCCTCCGTGCACCGGTGGATACGGGAGGTGCATTGGCTCTGGGGTTGATGTGTCAAGAGCTTTCTCTCACCAGGTTCCCGAGTCCTGTGATCCTGGGGCTTTGTGCATCGCTCTGCTCTCTTGGATTCCTACCCCTCCATGTCTCCTGCCTATGTTGATGTCTGTCTTCTCTGCTTTTCCAAGAACTGGGTGGCAGGCATTTGCAAGTTTAACTTGCCGGCAGCCCAGAAACGGTGGTTGTGGACCAGAGCTGGGACTGCGTGTATGCAACTCGGCCCCAGGTGCAGAGTCGAGGTTTACCTACCTTTCCAGGGCCTGGTCCTGCCTCTGGAGCCCCATGTTACGCTCTGACTGGAGAGGCTGAGGCACTCAGAGAGACTCTGGCAAACTTTCTAGAGATAATATTTAAAGGAAGAGCAAACATTGTGATGTGGCTTCCCTGGCTGAAAAAAAATGTCTTTAAATATCCAGGCCCTGGTTCAGGAGGAGGGGCTTTGGGGTAGAAGGATTGGAAGCAGCAGGCAGGGTATTCGTGGTAGGAGAGAGGCCACAAACCTTGATTAGGATTTAAAAATATGAAGATAAGAGAAAAGCTGTGTGTGGCCAGCTCTAATGACATGGCTCAGGTCCCCGGCTGCCCAGCAGGCCTGCCTGCTGCAGATTGTAAAGCGGGTGTGGGAGGGAGTATGGTGAGATTTTGCGTACCTCCTTTTTCAGGCCCTTTCATCACTCCTGTTCTGTCCCCACTATACTTCTGAAATCAGGCACTGTCCCTCTGGGAAGCCTATTCAGTCAAACACCCAATGCTGAGGGTCAGCTGCCTGACAGAATTATTGGGGTCCCCGAGTGGGATGGACTGGGGTGAAGAGGAGAGCACAGAGGGCTTAGGAGAATGAACAGCGTTCCCCCATTCAATCCTCTGAGACAATTGAGAGGTTTCCTCCAGCATCACAGATACCAGAATCTCAGGGGTGAGGGTTGAGGGGCAGCACCCTATGCCAGTCTCTGCTCGCCAGAAGTGCAGCAGAAAGAGCTTGAACCTGGAGTTAGGAAACCTAGATCCCAGCTCTGGTCAAAACCAGGGAGCAAGTCCCTGGGCAAGCCGCAGCCTCTCTGAGCCTCAGTTTCCTCGTGTGTAAAATTACCTCATGTGCAAGGGTCCAGGAAGCTGAGACAGAATCTCTTCATAGAGTGTGTTGCAGTGGCCAGACGTGAGGAAGCAGTCAGGGCCGACATGGGCCTGGGATTGAAGAGGTTGCCCCCCAGTCATCCCCTCTGCAGGGCCAGGGTCAGGAGCTCTTTAACTTAGCTCACTGCAGGTGGGTCTCTACACCCCGGGCAATGCCAGAGGGGGAGAGAGATCAGAGACGGACCTTATGCAGCAAGAGGGGTGCGTGTGAGAAAGTGATTCAGGGAGAGAGCATGTGTGCAAAAGGGTGTGTGTGTGTGTGTGTGTGATGGAGATTAAGACAGAGAGAAGGTAGATGGCTACCTGCACAAATGAGCATAAAATATTGTCTTCTGCATATTTGCTTACAAATCGTTGGCTTAATATTTATTTATTGAGTACCTACTCTGTTGCACACCCATCGCTAGACACTGGAAACGTGGATGAATAAGAAACAAACCCTCCATCAAGAAATGTGCATCCTTGGGGGGCACAGACTCAGGACACAAATCCCACCTCGCTTCATTCATACCAAGTGCTCAGATGGGGACCAAGGAGCTGAGGCAAGACAAGGAGAGGCTCTCTCTACCAGTGGCTTCTAGCAGAGATGAGCAGGAGGGCAGGGTTAGCGGGAGGAGATTGGCGCTGGCAGAGGGAGCAGCATTGGAGTGTCACCCTCTGCAAAGAAACCCGCCAGCGAGTCAGGAGAGCCCCTTCTCTCGCTCAGAAGCTCAGAGACTGGGTTCCATGTGACACAGAAAGGACTCCGTGGGGACTAACTAGCGCTGAGGACCTGGCCTTTCTCTGACCTGCTTCGGTGCTGAGTTTTCTACAGCAGAGACCTGGGGAGGCGACCCACACCAGGTGCCAGGACAGGATGGCAGCTCCGCAGAGAGAATCTAGTGTCTACACAGCCCTGGCTCTGTGCCAACCATGTGCTGGGAAGCTGGTGTCCTGCCCAATCCAGGTGTTTGCTAAAGATTTGTTAAATTAACAACTGTGGGAGCAGGGCCAGGCCTGGAGCAGGGGAGAGAAGAAAGATCTGTCTAATGTATAGACCAGTCCTAGGTGGGTTTAGATTAGACCCTATGTGGACACATTACATTTGCTTACTAATTTCTGGTTTTAACTGTGTTTTCACATATTCATTATTCATGGCACAGAGACCTACATTTGCAGTAATCCAACCCTGTGGAAGGATTTTTCTTTGTCCCTTTCAGGACTGAGGAATGTAAAGATTCTATAGGACCAAGTACCTCCTGCTGGTCCTGGGGACAACTTACTGTTTCTTCCCTGCTGTGGGCATACCTGGGGAGCAGGGAGACCACCCCCCACCCCCGTCCTGCCTGTCATAAACCTTGGCTGCCTCCCCCTAACACCAGCTGTCGTCTCCTTTCCTGTTGGTCTAAGCTGCTGGGCAGCCCCGATTTCTCATCGCTGCCCTTCTTAGAGGTGAACCGATGAGGTTCTTGTGCTCAGATATCTCCTTAACCTTGAGTTTCTCCTTCATAGCCCTGATCATGACCTGTGAGCCACACTCCTTTAGGAACCTGTCTGCTAAAGGCTGTCGTCCCCACTGGACTTGAGCTCTGTGAGGGTGGGGACCACAGCGTTTCACTCACCGCTCTAGCCACAGCTCCTGGTCTGGTCCCAGGCCCCAAGTGAGTGCTTCGCCAGTAGTATTAAGTGATCGGAGCAGCGCTGCTTGGCACAGAAGTCAGCAGGGCCCCTAGGTGATGCTGACGTGGGATGCACCGTGCTGCTCCCTGTCCTGGACGTTCAGTAAACGCGCTCTGACCTCGGTCCAGCTGCAGCACCTGAGTCTGTGGCCCGAGGGCGAGCCTCCAGCCAGGGGCACCAGTCACAGCTGTGCCTGAGCTCCCTCATGCCCCAGAAGGGCATTTAAATTATGCTAAATTGTGGCTGGGGTTCTGGCACCCCACTCCTGCCCCTTCAGCTCTACTTCGATTTGTTTTACATACTGGATTTCTCTGACATTTAGAGTTTCTCTTGCTTAAAAACAAAAAAGTTTGTGAACCAATTATGCAATGGAAAGGGCAATGGATGCTGTACTGGGACATCCTAAGTCCTCTGCACACTGGTTGGGAAGCCTGGTGCTGGGTCCCTCACCCCTCCGGCCTCAGATACCTAAAGTTATCAGATGAGGACGTACTGCCCTCCTTATAGGATGAACGCGATTGTGTGGATACACAGCTCCCTGTATAAACGGAGGTGTTCCTTGGTGTCACTGCAGTTCATAGCTGATGCTCTCAGGGCTGTGAGGGCCTCAGGCCAGGGACTTGTCACTCACTGCTGGTTTCTTCAGCCCTGGGCAGACTCTGAGAGCCACTCCTGTTGTCTCTAGAACATTCTCTGCTCCCCTCTCCTGCACTTGCTTTCTTAAGGCCCCACCCAGCACTGAGATGACATTTGAGCCATTTCCAACACCTGATTACCTTATTAGGCGTTAGGAGACTGACTCAGGCTCTGTAACTTAGCAGAAGCCCAGCTCCTGGCTTAGATGCCCGGATTAACCCCAGGGGTTCTGGGGACCCCACCTCTTCCTGTGCAACCAGCTCTCCAGTCCTTCACAGAGACCTGGGGCCACTGGCAGGAGCCAGAACTTGTGTGGCCTCCACCACCCTGGCTGGGGAGGTTTAAGCTTATATCCTTCTGCACATTGGGAGTTCATCTTTCACCCCAGGCAGAGATAGCCGAAGCCAAAGTGAGCAGGAGGAAGAACTCCAATCCAGGAGAGCTTCTAGTGTCCTGGCCACCCACGCAGCTGCACACTGGGGAAGGGGTGTGGGGCTGACCTTAGAATCTGATTTGTCTCGAGGACTGCCCTGGAGCCCTGAACTGCCCCCCCTCCCCCCGCCCACCCAGGCGCAGGTTGTTTCTCTCTGTGGGAGGCATGACCTCGGCTTCAGACCCATCAGAGACAAGCTGTTCCTCCTGCTTCCTCCCCAACTGCTATTCAGGAGCCTCAAGAAAGTGACTTTGAACTTAAGGATGGGCTCTGCCTCTAGGCAGCTGGGCTAGAGTCCCAACTCTGTCCATCTACAGCCTGTGTGATCTGGGGGAGTCGAACCTCCCCAAGCCAAGGTTGCTCGCTTTTAATTGGAGATACCAATAATATCACCTGCACACGATGGCTTTTTAATTTAATGCAGATAATACAAGTAGCAGACTGGCAGCTAGGAGGGCAAGGGATGACCTTGCACAGGCGGGGAGCTTAGGGTAAGGCCCTCCTTAAACTTTGTGCCTTAGGCACCCCTCTTTTCTCGCCATCCTGGCAGTGCAGGCGAGCACTGGGGTTGTGTTAGGACAGCCCCACGCGCTGGGTGCATGCAGGAACCTCTGTGTACTCCTGCTGTGGGTAGGCAGGGGC